GGGGGCGTTGGATTCATTGGAGTTGGGGGGGACGGAAGAAGAGGAGAAAAAAGAGGGGGAGGGTGCTGGGGGGGCTGCCCCCTCTCAGCAGCCTGCTGACAAAGGAGGGCAGCCTTCCCCCACACCCCCCCTGCGCCGTGCCGACAGCCTGGAGGAGCTGGTGATGGGGGTAAGTGGGGGGGAGGGGGTGGAAATCAGGGGGTCCCTGCAGACTCCCACGCTGAAAGCCCCCACCCCCTCAGGAGGTGCTGGTGCCCCCCACCACAGCCACCCCCCCTGTGCCCCCGCAAAGCGAGGAGGAGGAGTGGGCCGTGGAGGAGGACTGCAGCGTCCCCGTGGAGGACTTTGAGGAGAAGATCCCAGATCCAGCATTCAAGGTGGGGGGGGCAAAATGGGGAAGGGGGGCAGGGGGTGTCCTGGGAGGAGACTGCGGGGAAGTGGGGGCAGTTAGGGGGATCTGGGGACTTGAGGGATGCAGGGGGTGGTTTGGGCGAGGATCTGTGGATGATTTGGGGGTCCTGGGTGGGGCTCAAAGGACGGCGTGATTTGTGGGGGTGTCCTTGGTGGGTATGGGGTCGTGGAGGGGGCTGGGGGGTCTGGGGCAGTTTGGGGGAACTTCTGGGGTTTGAGGGGCCATTATGGTGTGACGTGGGGTCTGGGGTCAGTGTGGGGGATTGGGGTGCGTGTAGATATTGGGGTTCCATGGGCACCCAGGATGGCCAGGGTGTGGGGTTCCTCTATTGGGGCTGCCGCGGTTTGGGGTCCTCGGGTTTTGGAGTCCCCCCCTTTCTGGTCCTCACCCCCCCTCCTGCAGTGGCCGTTCCGCCCTGACGCCTTCCAGCAGCGCGCGGCGCTGTGCCTGGAGCGGGGGCAGTCGCTGCTGGTGGCTGCTCACACCTCTGCTGGCAAAACTGCCGTGGCCGAATACGCCATCGCCTTGGCACGGCGACACATGACACGGTGAGGGGGCCATGGGTTGGGAGGGGGAGGCGGCTGGGCAGAGGGCTGAGCCCATACTGGGGGTCCTGAGCCCTTTCCTTGGGTGCTGAGCCTGTCCTGGGTGTCCTCCCATCTCTTCCTCCGAGCTCTGGGGTTCCCTGAACTGTTTTCAGCTCTCCTGTGGTCTCTGGGGGGGCCCAAACCTCTTCGTGGTGTCCCTGATCCCTTCCTGGGGGTCCCCAGCCCCTTCCTGGGATCTCAATGGGGATTCCTGAACCCTTCTTGTGTTCCCCAGACCCACACTGGGGTCCTCCTGGGGGACCCTGACCCCTTCCCGTGCTCCTGGGGGGTCCTCGACCCGCTCTGTGTCGCTGACCCCTCGTGCCCCCCAGGGCCATCTACACGTCGCCCATCAAGGCGCTCTCCAATCAGAAGTTCCGTGACTTCAGGGCCACCTTTGGGGACGTGGGGCTGCTGACTGGGGACGTGCAGCTGCGCCCCGACGCCTCCTGCCTCATCATGACCACTGAGATCCTGCGGTGAGCCCCAAATGGCCCCGAAAAAGTGCCCCCAACACTCCCAAAATTGTTCCAAAAACAGCTCTGAAAGTGGCACTGAAACCGTCCACAAACTGCCCCAGCGCTGCCCTCAAACAGACCCAAAAGTAGCCCCAATTCCCCTCAAAATCCCCACCCCCCAAAAAAATCCACCTTGAACCCCTAAGAAACCCTGAACGCCCCAAATCCTCCCCCCACCCCCGCAGCTCAATGCTGTACAACGGCTCTGAGGTGCTCCGTGAGCTGGAGTGGGTCATCTTCGACGAGGTGCACTACATCAACGACGCTGAGGTGGGGGCTGGGGGGTCCCCAAAAACCAGGGGAGGTCGAGGAGGGTGGTTGTTGTAGGGTAAAAGTGGGATTTGGGGGGGTGGCTTGGAGGGAATTTGGCATTTGGGGCGGGGGCTTTGTTCATGTGGGTCCGAGGTGTCCTGATGGACCTTAGGGTCCTGTGGGGCCATGGGCTCCTGTGGGGCTGCACCATTTTCTACTGGCTGGGGGCGGGGGGGGGGCTGTGTGGGTCTTGGGGGGGGGGGGGGGGCTTCGGGGGGGGGGTTGGGGTATTTGGGGAGGGGGGCTGTCTGGGACATCGGGGTGCTGCTGGGTGTTGTGGGTCTGCACCATCTGCTGCCATAGGGAGGGACTGGGAGTGTGGGATGCTATGGGGGGTCCTGGGGCTCTGGTGGGGGTCCCATATCCTGCCCCCCCAGCGCGGCGTGGTGTGGGAGGAGACGCTGATCCTGCTGCCTGAGCACGTGGGGCTGGTGCTGCTCAGTGCCACCATCCCCAATGCCCTCGAGTTCGCCCAGTGGGTCGGGTAAGGGGCTGGGGGGGGTTGCTGTGGGGCTGGGGGCGTCTGTGAGGGGCTCTGGGGTGGTCGTGGGGCTGGGAGGGGTCTGTGGGTAATTGTGAGGGCTGGGGGTGGTTGTGGGGCTGGGGGGTACAAAGGGGGCTTCGTGGTTGTCTGGGGGGGTCACGGGGGATTCTGGGGCCGGGGGGCTGCAGGGGGCTTATAGGCGGTGAGAGGGTGTGGGAGGAGGAGGGGGGCTGCAGGGTGTCGTGGGCTGCGTTGGGGTTAAGAGTCATCTGGGGGGCTGTGGGGAGCCGGGGGAGCTGTGGGGCATTTCCCTCACATTTCCCCCCCCCTTTGTCTCCCGCAGCCGCACGAAGCGGCGCCGCCTGCGGGTGCTGAGCACTCGGCAGCGCCCGGTGCCCCTCGAGCATTTCCTCTACACCGGCGGCGGCGGTCCCCCCTCACCCCGCGATCTCTTCCTGCTGCTGGACGCGCGGGGTGCCTTCAGCACCCAGGGGTGAGAGCCTCACCGAGCCCCAAGCGCCCTGCGGCCGCTCCGCCGTGCCCCTACGGCCGGCCGCTGTCGCCCTGTGGAGCCCGACGGCCGCCCCGTAGCACCTCCTGGTGCCCCGCAGTCCCTCTGCAGCGCCCTGCAACCATCCCATGTTTACCCATGGTTCCGTAGCGCTGCCCCACAGCGCCCCATGGCTCCCACAGGTACTACGCCGCGGTGGAGGCGCAGAAGCAGCGGGCGAGCAAACACGCGCAGAGCTTTGGGGCCAAACAGCCCCACGGGGGGGGCAGCGGCCCCGGGCAGGTGAGGGGAGCCCAAACGGGGTGGGGGGTCTCTTTCTGGGATCCTCCCGCCCTGTTTTGCGCCCTGCTTTTGGGCTCCCTTGGAGCTCTTTGGGCTCACGCCGCGCTCCCCGCAGGACCGTGCCATGTGGCACTCGCTGGTGGCGCTGCTGCAGGCGCAGGGGCAGCTCCCGGCCGTGGCCTTCACCTTCTCCCGCGGGCGCTGTGATGCACACGCAGCCGCCCTGGGCCGCACTGACCTCAGCTCAGCCGCCGAGAAGGGACGCGTGCGGGGCTTCGTGCGGCGCTGCCTGGCCCGGCTCCGGGGGGGGGACCGCCGCCTGCCCCAGGTGGGGGCTCTGGGGGGCCGTTCTGGGGGGCTGTGGGCTGTGTGGGGAGTTATTGGGGCTCGGGGGGCTGTTAATGGGGAGTTAGGGTAGGTTGTGGGGGATCCGAGAGAGCCTTGGGGGGCTTTAAAGAGCCTTGGGGGCTCTTACTGGGGGGGCTCTTATGGTTGTCTGTGGGTGGTTCAGGACTTCTTGGGAGGCTCTGTGTGGGGCTGGGAGGAGTTATGGGGCACTGAATGGGGCAGTGTGGGTCTGCTGTAGGTCCCACCTCTGCCCCCCCCCCCCCAGGTGCTGCAGATGTCGGAGCTGCTGGAGCGCGGCATCGGGGTTCACCACAGCGGGGTGCTGCCGCTGCTCAAGGAGGTGGTGGAGATGCTCTTCAGCCAGGGCCTGGTCAAGGTATGGGGCGACTGTGGGGCAGCTGTGGGACTGAGCCCCACACGTGTCCCCCACCAACCCACCCACCCCCACCGCACCCCCAGCTGCTCTTTGCCACCGAGACCTTCGCCATGGGGGTGAACATGCCGGCGCGCACCGTCATCTTCGACTCCATCCGCAAACACGACGGCAACAACTTCCGCGACCTGCTGCCAGGTGGGGATGTGGGGTGGGTGTGGGCAGGGCTGGGGGGTGGGGGGCAGCTTTTGTGGCTCTGGGGTGGCTTTTAGGGTCTACGGGGTGGATTTGAGAGCGGGGTTGGGGCTGCAGTGTGGGCCTGGGGGCCGTGGGATGGTTTGGGGATGTGGGGCAGGGCTCTATGGGGCAGCCCCTCTCTGCAGGTGAGTACGTGCAGATGTCGGGGCGCGCCGGGCGCCGTGGGTTGGACCGCACTGGGACTGTCATCATCCTGTGCCGGGGGACGGTGCCCGAAATGGCCGACCTGCACCGCGTGATGCTGGTGAGCGCCGCCCGCCTCCCCTCCTGTCAGCGCTTTCCGTCTGTCCTGCAGCACCGTCACCCAGTGTCACCCCATGTCCCCATCCCGCTGTCACCCCAACGCCGCCCCGCATCCACCCGGTGTCCCCGGGCTGCGTCACCCCCACCTCTCCATTTCCTCCCCTTGCTGTGACGCTGCACTGCTGTCCCTGTGCCCGCAGGGCCGCCCGTCGGGGCTGCAGTCGCAGTTCCGCCTGACGTACGGCACCATCCTCAGCCTGCAGCGCGCGGCCGCGCTCAGCGTGGAGGGGTTGATGCGCAACAGCTTCGGAGAATTCCCCCTGCGGCGCCGCGCCGCGGTACGGGATGGGGGGCACTGGGGTGGGGAGTTGACATGAGGGGGGAATCGGAGCGGTGGGGGCCTTGGGGGCATGGGGAGGGTTGCACTGAGGATGAGCTGGGGGCGCTGGGGATGGTGGGAGCCACAGGGATAAGGTGGGGGGTATGGGGACAACAGGGACACATTGGAGATGGGAGCACTGGGGACACTCTGGGAGCGGGGGG